CCTCCCGCTCCCGTTTTAAAGCAGTTTTTTTGTTGCTCGGCTCATGAGACGAGGTAGCGGAGGCCCTGGCGTTGTTACCCAGCGAATGATCTTTTTTCACGTTCCAGCTAAAGCTGTTCCAAAACGTGTGGTCGCTGGTGGCAGCTGTGTACCCAGGGTCCTTTCTCTGCAGCTCTCACAAGCTGTTAGTTTTGATGTTGTTGCAGCTGCATCATCTCTGTTTCATATTTCAAAATGGCGTGCCCTATCCACGTTGAATAAAAAGATGCACACGAACGCCACGTTCGTTATTTAAAATTACTTCTTGGATGCAGCAGCATGGAGCTGTGAGCAAGTGTTACTGCAGAGTTTGGATTCGTGCAGCTGTGCCTGTCCTCGTCCCGAAAGTCTCCCTTTATTGCATGTCGGTTGTCGGCGAAATCCGTGAAAAGGAGTGAACATGCATGATCTGGGCTTAAGTCAGATAATTAAGCGAGTCCCCACCTGGAGTGCTGTGTCCAGCTCTGGAGCCCTCAATACAAGAAGGACACGGACCTGTTGGAGTGGGTCCAGAGGAGGGCCTTGAAGATGACCAGGGGGCTGGAGCACCTCCCCTGTGAGGACAGGCTGAGACAGTTGGGGTTGTTCAACCTGAAGAAGAGAAGGCTCCAGGGACACCTTGTGGCAGCCTTTCAATACTTAAAGGGGGTTTAGAAGAAAGATGGGGACAGACTTTTTAATAGGGCATGTAGTGATAGGACAGGGAGTAATGGTTTTAAACTAAAAGAGGGCAGATTCAGACTAGATACAAGGAAGGAATTTTTTAGTGAGGTTGATAAACACTGGCACAGGCTGCTCAGAGAGGTGGTAGAAGCCCCATCCCTGGAAACATTCAATGCCGGAATGAAGAGGGCTCTGAGCAACCTGATCCAGCTAAAGATGTCCCTGCTCACTGCAGGGGGGTTGGACTAGGTGGTCTTTAAGGGCACCTTCCAGCCCGAACTGTTCTATGATTGCCTTTTTTTTTGTCAAATGTAGATTGTATATCAATATATGCTGAGCAGCCTATGCTTACTGTGCTCTTGTCACAACTTCATGTGGGTTTTTTTTGTACTTTAATGTTGGGACAATTCCTGGAATCCTTATGTAAGGCTTTTATCTCAGAATTGTTGAGAATTCCGTAAGTGATACTGAATTGTCATTAAACAGGTTATGTGTCAACCTGTGGGTTTAGGTACTATGGATATTATTACTGTTATACAGCCCTTGAGGTTAGGCAGATTTCAATGCTTCAGGCTAACCTAATTTTTTGTCTCAAACAGCAAAAGGAGAAGGTGACTTCTTCTCCTTAGTACCTGTGCTTCAGGGAACAGGAGTGCTCAAGAGCTTGGGTTTTGGGGTTTGTCTTTTTTTTAAATTTATTTTTATTTCGGGTTGAGAGACTGAAGAATGGAAAAAGAATAGAAAAATGAAGCGGCTTTGTACATTAGGACAAATATCAGCCTTCACAAAAGTGTGATTAAGGATTTTTTTTTTCCTTTTGTTCTTCCTTTCCCCAGTTTTGACAGGGTAGCAGTAACAGTTAACAAGTGAACTGAGAAACCACAGACAAGAGGAAAAAAAGACAGAAGTTCTAGTTAATCTTTAGGTCTTGGTTCCCCTGTTTGTATTGAGAACTGATATGGGATTTATTCTTCCCAGAGGTGTTTTTTAGTTAAGATTTAAGAACTTTGAGGAAGAGAGTAAAGCAAGACAATACAAGATGAAATATGGTAGTCTTTTTCCCTCCAGCTTTCAGATAGGATTTGCTTATGAGTGATGTTGTGTCTACAGATAAAGTTGAATTCTTTAGCTACAGAAAGGGATAAACTTAGTATCTTTTTTTACTTAAATGCAGAGCATTGCCTAGAGAAAAGAATGTCAGCTTGACTTCTTTGGTAGCAACGGAGTAGCTGTAAGACACGCAAACTGAAGGTACAGCTCCATCAGAATGATTTACTAAACCAATTGGTTTAATAATATGTGGATAATATGGAATTAAGAAATGAGATCCTAAAGTGAATTTTGGAAACAAAAAGTAGAATGGTTAATCTTTCTACTGAAAGCTGGTTTATGCTACTGAATAAACCTTTTAGTGTGTGCGTATATGCAGTACTTTAGTACCGGTTTCTGTATCCCGTATCTGTCCCATAAACTCAGCTGATGTAGAGGGCCATTGCAGCATAGCTTGAGCAGCTCATTTAAGGAGAGATTCAACTTGCACTTCTAGTGGTTAATTTCAGTTTTTTTAAAGCGTAAATATCGAAACCTTTGGAAAATGTCTGCACTTCAGCATTTTCATAATACAACCAGTTGACATTTTCAGTCTGTGATCACTGATATCTGTGAAACCAAGGTGCTTCCATTCTTATGCTCAGCTGTTTGCATCTTTATATAAAAACCTCACATATTTAAAGCATTTGGATTTACTATTTCTGTTGGTGACATTTAGCACCACTTACATTGTTTGAAAATATTTTTCAGAATGAAAATGCATTTAGATTTTTGCCTTTTCAGTGACAGAACAGTTTTGCAATGAAAAAAGGAAAAGATTGAGGAAGTAGATTCTACAGCTGTTAATGGTTAGTGGTGTTCATGTTTTTATCTTGGCTAATGAAAGTATGTGAGAAGTCTTTGTTTAAGCAAACACTACTAAAGATTATTTGTGTCTTTCCTTGGCTGTGAAACAGCTGATTCGGTCATTGTGATGTTTCATTATAGTGCTGTAATAATGAGTCCATAAATTCAAATAAGGAAAAACTTCCATTTATAGCAAGTTTTTCCATACCTTTTGATCCATTAGATCCCTTGCGTCTTTCTGAAAAACAATCCTATGACCTAGTTCTTGTGTGCTGTTCCGCTACACGTAAATGAACATTTTCAGGAAATTTGACAACTCTACCGTCTAATTTTGACTTTGAGGAGTCTACTGGTTACATTTAGTAAATATTCCATCTGCAAAGCAGTGGAAGAATTTTAAGCTGCAAATGCTGCTCTGTACACAATAAACATGTAGCCTGGATAACTTTAAAGCTATTTTCTATCAGTTCCGCAATGGACAGAAACAGAGTTTCAGAGTAATTGTCCTGTGGCTAGGTCAGTTATCATCATCACAGCATGAAGGATGTATTGCTCTGACCAAGGCTTCAGTTTCACAAGCAGCTAGGTCAATGTAACATTCCTTTACTATTTCTGAAAAGGAAGAGGGCTTGCTGCCATCTCCTTTTTCATCCCCTCTTCCCTGGCCACACAGTTCCTCTGGTGCTTGTCAGGCTGTTTCATGGATGGGTTTGACTTACTAAGCCCGCACAAAGCTGTCCGCTTCTTTTTCAGGATTAATCTTTTGCCAAATTGGCGAGGTGAATTGCCTCGTGGTGGAAGCGTCCGGCCACCAAAGCTAGGGCAAGGTGAGCAGCAGGACTTCTGGGAACCGATGCCGTGAGCAGAGCCAGACCTCTCCAATTCAGTGGCCACAGGCTGTTAGATCCACTCACGCTGTCTCCTGATACGACAAAACACAGGCTGTTGTGCCTCTGCACATGTTTATCTGAGCAGTAACGTGAATGTGAGACATTGAAAGGTTTTCCATTTGAACTGCTGTTTCTTGAGTTAAACGCTGCTGTTAGTAAGGATGTGCATTTGTTGGAAAACGCTTTCTGTGCAGTCTCAATTTGCTACACAGCTAAGATTTTTGTCTTCTGATCTTTAAGTTAAAGCAGTGTTTCCTGTTAAGAAATACAATTTAGTGTAAGTCCTGAATATAGGAAGAATTTTATCCACCTTCCTTGTGGTGGTTGTATTGTGTGACTGGACTGAATCTGAATTATTCAAAAACAGTCAAGTATCTGTCATGATGCACTGTAATTCATATTTATTACAGAAAAGTAGGAGATATTCTTAAAATTCTTAGAAAGCAGTGATTATGCTCTGATACTTGCAACTGTAGGTGTGTTGTGTTCTGGTTTGGTGGTGTTTGGTTTGTTTTTTTTCCCCTAAGTCTAGATGCAGACAAGAACTAGAAAGAATAAAATGCTGAACTTCTTGATACTAGGTACAGAAAAAAAATGGAGGTGTTACAGATTTCACAAAGTTGTTTAAAATAAAATTATATAATGTTAGTATCTATACTGAGAAAGTTAATGAAAATAATTTTTCAAGAGAGAGAAAACAGAAGATCTTTTTGTGAGGTGAAAACTGATAAGATTTATATCTACTGTCTCCTTTAGGCTTAGGCTTTTCCAGATACCACCTGAATAATTTAGGTGTTAACCATTTCCGTGCCTGAGAGCATTAGATTGCGTACCACCAACTCCCCTTTCTCCTAACGTCTAAGCATCTTAATATATCGCTTATTACCATGTATGGGGACATAAACACTATCTACATGGATGTGTTCAACTGTGTTGCCGTTTTGTTTGAACTTACAGATTTACATGTCTTCCTATAATGTCTGTAGGTAATTCGGCTGGGGGCCACCCCTGTTAGCCTGAGCTTGCTCTCTGTCCAGGTTTATGCTTCCTCTTCAGAGAAGGAGACTTCCAAAAAGGAGTTGCTGAAAATTGAGGAGGTGAGTATGGGTAGAGCCCTAGTGCTCTTCTGTCTCTATGGAAATAGCTATAGAATTCTGAAAGACATTATATTTTGATGTGTGAAAGCTTTTAGGGTACATCTCTTGACTTTTTGTATTCTTGCCTTTGAACTTGTTTCTCAATTTTCGGTAATAAGAGATGTCGTTACGGTTTTGCTTCTTTTACCCGAGGGTAGCATTTGGTGCCCTCTGCTTGATAATGTCAGGCTTACTTGTGTATAAGATCTTTTTCCAACATTAAAGCCTTCCAGTCTTCATCCAGAAATTACCATTTCATGTTTCTAGATTTACTTGTGGTCATATTTCAAATCCACAGGAATATTTTCTTTGCTTTTTGTCCAGATAACACCATGTATTTTTTATTACAAGTACTGTTGGCAGATTCTAATCAAGTTTCATTTGTGTTCTCCAGTAAAACAGCAAATCGAAAGTTTTTGTTTCTAGAAATACTCTCTTACAAGGGAAATTCTTGTCTGGCAGTGTTTTGAATCTAATAAGGTAGCCTACAGAATTTTATCAGTTTTCCTTTCTTTACAGGATTCAGACCTAGGCAAAGACAAACACAATAAGTAGTGATAACAAAAACCTGTTGCTTTGTTTCTCTAAGATGTTACAAATGTCTTGGTTATATCACGAATAGAACTTTAAAACACCCTGTCAAACTGTAGACTCGCCAGCATTGTTGCGTAGGCTTTCAACGGTCTCCAACATTAAAAAGAAAAAAAAAAAGATAAACCTGTAGTTCATAACTAAATACAGCTTTATATCGATGAGAGTTTGTAGTTTGAAAATTTGAAGTACTTCAACCCAAGCTGAAGTGTTGTTACGTGAGCAGTGAAACTAAATGAAACTTATTTTTCTGTATACTTAAGTCTTTTGGATGCGTCTGCATGGGCAGTTCACTTACATAATACGAGAGGATCGATAGTTGAAGGATTTTCCTGGCTTCACCCCAGTGAAGTAACCTTAGCATGGGCCGTCGCGTGCCCTACACCACCCCTGGCATGAGTCAGTAGTGAGGCAGCAGTTTGAAGTTACATGTGTGCTGGATAATTGGCTTGCCCATCAGCTTCAGCAGAGCAGAATGTGCATGGAGTTTTGGCTGCCTTTCTTACCATTCACAGAGTATGTTAGTCTGGATCTCTACTCTGTCAGCTGTCTAGTTTCATAAAATATATGGGAATTTCCATATCTCTGAGACTTCTGTCCTTGTGCCAGATGTGGCTGTTGGGTTGTGTAACTGGAATGAAAGTTAAACTGATGGTGACTGTGATTGCCAGAGATGACTGGATTTCCTAGGGAAATGAGACTTAAAATGCTTGTCTTTCAAAGTATTATGGGAAAACCAGCTGCACGAGTTACCAAATCATTTGACAAATTCTATGTCACTAGGTATTTTCTTATGGTTAGCTTTTTTATTATGATACAGTTGTTTTCCAACCTATCTTGAAAAGAGGAGTAGCTAGACGTACGTGTAAACATCAGTTTATAATAAACTACTAATTGTAGTGTGAATGTGGTATAAAATATAAGCTCTTTATACTAAACATCAGTGTAGTCTATAAACTGCTAAGAACTGTAACAGGTTTTGATTTGATCTCAACTTTGCTGTTCATCTTCAACAGTATAGACTTTTGTAATTTTTTTTTTTCATGGAATAAGATTTTAAATATGTTTAGGTAATCATAATAAATATGTTGTGATGCTAAATACGGTGTTCTAGTATTCACTGTGAGACACCTATGGCTTTTCAGGTGCATGGTACTGTTCCTATTTGCTCAGCCCCATAGTGCTGTTAATGCTGTTGGTTGCTGATGTAGTTAATGACTGCAACATTGAGTTGTCATACCATTTTCCTGCTCAGTAACAAACAGACAAATTGTATTGGTTGTTACCGTTGTTAGAAGCTACCTAGACTCTTTGATGATGGCTTTTGCAAATATAGAAGATGATCGATTATGATTGTAGAGTTCTACTACATTTAGTATGTTAACTGGGAACCAGGCATGCTGATTAAGACCAGAAACATTTTTCACAATTATGATTTGTGTTCTTATTAAACTAGCTTAATATTAATTTATAACCTGTGACTTGGCTCATAAAGCAGCTGTGGATGAATTGCATAGCAATTAGAAGTCATCTTCATCATAGTATGTAATTAAGCTTGGCTCGTAATGGTTGTCTCACAGCTGGGCCTGGATTTTTATTGTGCGTTGTTTATGTAGTAAGCACCATGTTAGCTGTTCTCTGGTTAGACTGTTCATGCCCTAAAGACCTTCTTACACAATTACGCCTTTGTTTTTAACCTCTTGTTTGCTAATATTCACAGCTGTCACTCTACTCCTCTCCAGCTCGTGAGACTAAATATGTGGAGAATCCACAAACCCAATTGGAAGAGGGGGTTTCGCGTTTACGGCATGTCATGGAGCCATATACAGCCTGGTGTCAGGTATCATTATTTTGTATCACATCTGGTAGTGGTTCAGTGATAAGGGTTGAGCTGGGATTTTTTTTTTTTTTAGTGACAGAATTAATAGATAGCTGCAAAGTAAAAGTTGATAGCTGCACAAGCATTTTTCCAAAATGCTGCATTACTTAACATTTTCCACAGTTCGAGTCATAATATTTACCCCCTCCTCACACAAAACCAGTTGTTTCTTTCTGCTGGCTTGCTGAAAAAAACCCCTGCTCTTTCACGTTTTGTATCCCTCTGAAAGAATTAACAATTCTAAGCTTTAGTTAATTTTCTTTTATCTGAAATAAACTTTAAGCTTAAAGATATCTAGGGATAACTGGATTTGGTACTGTCTTGTGACTGAGGAAGACAGGAGAGTGCTTAAATTTTCATTTTCCATGCTCAAGGAGAAGGCCTTACTTTATCAAGCAGTGTATTTTGGAGCAGCAATACTAAGTTTTCCTCCCTGCAACTGTGACAAAACACAACTTTGCAGAAAGTAAATCAGTAATTGCTGAACTGGAATGTTGAGAGAAGTAGCACAGCTCTCTGGAAGAGAGAAAATCCCAGGCTGCTAGTAGTGGCAAACCTAGCCCCCAGACCTTACCCCAAAACTTTCTTATATGTTTTATTAGATAGCATGTTTATACTAATTAAATACAAAAATAGTCTTTGGAGCATAGAGAGAAACCAAGATCTTTGTAATCAAGGCCTAAATTATTGATAATGGATTGCATAGTCATATGATGCCTTTCTTGCTCTTTCCTGACCCAGTAAATGTTGAGGCTTACTTTTGAAGCAAGAGCATCCTTGTCATCTGATGGCCTCCTGGCAACTTTGAGTGATTCTCTTGTTTTGTACTCTGGCTGTTGTGAATCCTCTTCTGAAGCTGGAAGCTGGCTTTCCAGTTCTCTGTAGCTGTTCAGATCAGGGTTCCTTTCTGCCCGGAAGGTCTGTGTGGTGGTACTCAGCTTTAACAGTACCGAAACGTTTTTTCAGAAACGCTTAGGGTTAGTCAGTCTATCGATACATTTCTAAAGTGCCACCAGCAGTAGTACTGACTTCAGTTTTGATGGAGAAGGGGATTTTCCACAGTGCAGTTAGAGCTCTGACCCACTGAATGCGTGGGTTCTGTTTGGTTGGCCGCGATAACTGTAACCAGGGAATGAAATTTGAGACGAGGTTAGTTGCCCAGTTGGACTGACTGCAGGTAAGCCTTGAACAGTGCTTTGTGTCTCACTGGCCTGTTGTCTTCCGATTTGCTTTATTTTTTTGTCTGCGTGGTGATCATTTACATAAGATGTGCTCTTCTGCTCCCACACAACAAGCCATTTCCTGGCAGTGGTTTACTGACTCATTTCATGAAGTGGGCATGTAAACTTTATGGGTTTGGGGTCATCTTGCTTGCTTAGCTGTAGTCAGAGGATAGCTTTGCTTCCCTCCCCCTGCACTCCTCTATGTTAAAGAAAATAACATTTTAGGTGTCTCTCAATTGTCTTTAAAATTAAAAAAATAACCCAGGATAATGAGAATAAAGTTGGTTCTGTTTGTATATCCATTCTTCAAAATTGCTTGCTTAACTGTAGCAGAAAGGTGGTTCAAAACACAGATGTAGAAATGAGCTGGTTATGTGTGAGTGGTGACAGAAGATCACACTGTTGTCCCACAAGTGGGATCCAGTACCCAGTGTGCAAAACGCCAGTACACACACAGAGTCCAGGTATTTTATTTCCTTGATGCGCGTCAATGAGTGTCTGTCCCAAGACAGCACACCTGGCCTCAGAGTTTCCCACAACTGTACACTTAACTACTACCTATTCATCATTATTCTTTTCGATGATTCGTTCTTCTTCCTCGCTTCTGATGCAAATTAGCGTGCAGTCTCTGTCGTCAATGAGCTGGTGGTCGTGATCTCCTCTTGCCAGAGTTACCTTTGGCCTACTTCGTCTCTAATCTTGGCAGTCCCAAGCAGTTCTTCACGGTTTGCTGGTCAAACCACAATCCATCACCCTCTCTGAGAGCCACATTGTCTAGTAGTTAGTTCCTCAATCTAGTCTTAAATCATGTCTAGTTACTGTTTCACCAAAATTGGATCAGGACCATACAAAGGACTCTTAGCAGCTTCCCAGTTGCTTCAATCACATTTTACGTTTCATTGGTATCAATGATAACAAGACTTAGTCTCTGGAGTCTTTAGAGCGTGTTCTTTTTTTCATTCGCCTTTAATAAGACCAGCATCCATTTAGAGTTATGTCGTGTGTCACGTGCTATCACTCTTTTTCATGACAAGTTTGGGTTTTTTTGTAAGTCACTCTTGCCAGTGAGGAAATGAAAGTTCTAAAGATATTATCCACATGCAGTATCCTAAACAAATGCTTTCACTTCTGCATAGGGTCTGCTCAAGTGGTATTGCAAGACCGTTCTCTGCTTCAGCTTTGGGCATACATGTTTAAGGATTTGTTCCCTAACTGATAGACAGCCTTCACTGTCTCTCTGAAGGATTATTAGTGTAATAACAATTAGCAGCGTTGCTCTTACTGAGATTTTTTTCTACTTTGATAAAAGTCAGTGTGAATTCTTTTACTTCCTGCATATTTTCAGGAGAGGAAAAAAATCTAGAACTAGTTTGTGAGGTCGATGCAGTGCTCTTTTGATTTACTTTGGATGTTATAGGGACATCTCCTTTTCCAAGTCACTTTAAAAATGCTGCTTTGTTAGCCTAAGATAGTCTCTTGGAAAGTAGAATTTATCACCTTGCAGAACGAGGTATGTACCCCTGTGAACTGCAAGGAAGGGGTTTATTACAGTGTTGTACTTCCTGTCTTTGCATCAACTCAAGTATTTTTGCAGTACCTGCATGCACTGAGAAACCTGAGATAATCCTGAGTTTCAGCTGTGCCTGATCAGGAGCTCCATGAAATATTGAAGTTGGCCTGTGTTTCAAGGTATTATATTTCATCCATGTCCAAAGAGTACTCTGAGAAAAAGCTGTGCGTTATGCCAAACGTAGTGTTCGGCAAGTATAGCCCTCTAAGTGAAGGGTGGAAGTGGGAATAAAAAGAAGTTATTTTAGGGACCCAACACTTTTTTTTTTTCCCCCTTCTTTTTTTTTCTTTTTCCTGTGGGTTGTTTTTTTTGGTTTTTTTTTTTTGCCTTGTCAGATCAGTTCCAATCTGTAGTTAATATTTTACTTACTTGGTATCTATTTACTGTTGTGTTCTTTTTTTTTTTTAGGATCTTTATGCCAAAGCTATGCCCAAATTAGAAAAAGCTGTTGAGCATGGTAGAGGTAAATCAGTTTAGTTTTCTTAACTAGCAATTTAAAATGCAGGACTGTACTGTATCCTCTGTTAAAAGGGGATTCCATTAAGCACCATTATATATATAATTTCTACTGCATTTAAGTTTACTTTATTTGCACTGTGTATCTGTTTAAATTTCCTTTGTAGGCCATTATGACACTGCATTTCTAAACAATTAAAATGAGACCTGCGTCTGTGTTGACCAGTGTTACTAAAAATGACAATTATGCAGGAAAAGAAGGAAAAAAAAAAAAAAACAAACCAAGCCTCACAATTTATTCCCAGCTGGTAGTATTTGCTTGACCCAGCCTAGTAACTGAAACTTCCTGCAATGTTTATTACTTGTCACAAGTGTTAGGTCTTTTGTTTGTAATGTTTAGCCTTTCCATTCTGGTTACTTCCTTGGATCTCCTAAGAATTTTGAATTAGTCCAAAATAATTTGTATTTATTTTGGGGTTTGGAGTCATGCTTTTGTACTTAGGTTTAATCAAGACTAAGCATGGATGCTATCTAGAGCTCATTTCAGATACTGTGCCCCTTTTTCCTGAAACTCAACAGTCCCAGTCTTTGAACTCCTTGTATGGAAGATTTTTCATAATTTTCCATTCTGCCATCAGACTCCCATCTTGGAGTGAGCTTTGTTTATGCTGTGTCTTTCCTTTGTTCTGTGATTTGTTTTTCGTACGGTGTTTTACTGAAACTAATTCTTGTTAACATGTAAATGGAAGAATCCATTTTGCAAAGGTTTTTTATCACTAATTTGAAAAAGATATAATAGAGATGCAAAAGAGCAAAACAAAACAGATGGCCCAGGAGCAAAGGCAAAAGCTTCTATGAAAATTGGTAAATACAATACGATGTTCAGTTTCATTCATGTGTCACTAGAGAAGATCTAAAAGGCTTTGAATTTTATGCCAGCAAATCTAAAATATGCATGATAGTTAAATGTGTTTTGATAACTCTTTATGTTTTGTAACAATGTATTGATGATTCCTTACCACAAAAACACTTTCACATTACATTAACGCACTTTGTTCTGACTTCTTTTCAGAGGGCTGTGAATTTCTCCAAAACCCCCCTGCTGGATTTTATCCAAGGCTCGGTGTGATAGGTTTTGCTGGAATTGTTGGATTGTTCCTTGCTAGAGGTAAGTGGGAACCTTTTGAACTGGTTGTGTTATGGTTTGGGGTAAATAATTTATTTGTGTTTTTTTGGATACTCATTTTTAATTGGCACGCATGAGATCTGACTTAACTGTACAGGCATGTTTCTACAACGTTCCTCCAATTATAAAGAAACTTCATGTAAAAGGTGTGTAATAGCCATCAATTATTGGTTATGAATACTGTCTTCATTACTGGAATCTAGTCTTTGATCTTTTCTAGTTCTGGTTTATTATAGCAAAAGTAGGAAAGGATTAATTTTTTTTTTTTTTAGACTAAAAATCTTTTTGATTACTCAAGTTCTTGATCACATATGTCGCTGTAGAAAACTACAGAGGAATAAATTATGGTAAAATACAGAGGTTCCTGAACTATAGTACATGTACAATTGGGTGTATATTCGAGTTCCTTCAAAGTATTGTGTGTCCAGGCACAGAGCTGCTGCAGGTGATGGTATTCAGCAAAAGTGAAGTCTGAGTGTAACATAAATACATGCATGTTTTGTGCTGTGGAAAAGGGATACAGTTAATTTTATCATACTAGTTGAAGGAACTGATATGCTTTCATAGAAGTCAATGTTATTTTAAGAAATGTTATTTGTGAAAAAGTATTTTCTGTTTGTATTGAGATATTCTTAATGCAGTGGAACTAGGTAACGCAAGAAGAAAACTTGTAGGTAACAGAACTGTAAAGTTCTAGAACTCAAATACTAGTGAGGACTTGCTTGGGATAAATATACACCTTTGTGGGGCCTGTACGTGTTGAACAAACTGGAAGTGTGTGTTTGGCTATGTAGAAATAGAAAGTATTCTGTGAATATACGCACTCCTCAAAATACTTAATTTTCCAATGAAGATGCTGAAAACAGGACTTTTTTTTTTTCTAGCATTTTTTTTAGTAAAAATCAAGGTCTCCAACTTTACACATTTGAAGTTCTTTCTCTTCAAATTCCTGCTTCTTGAGTTACATGATTATAAATGAGATTGGCTTCCAGCCTTTACAACTGTAACAAAATGTGGGCGGGGCCAAGTGCAGTCTTGGGGCTGGATCTGAAAGATTAGGGGGTTCCAAGTTTAATGAAAATAAAAACTCCTCATAATACAAATGTAAGATTTGTGAATCTTTTAGGACGGGAGACATAATTTTAAAACTTTTTGTCTAGTTATAGTTTACGATAATGACTGTTATTTCCAGAAAGTATTCAAACTGTAGAAGGAAGTGCCCCTTAATTTTGGTGCTACAGAAAGTCAGAACCAAATGTCCTCTTTTTGTTTTTGTGTGTTTGTTTGTTTGGTTTTTTTTTCCCCTTGTCCACCCTTGGTTTCACTGGAAAAATTGCCCTCTTGGAAGGTACAGATAAAATCTTCCAGGTCTAACCATAGTACTTGAAGATACAGCTGCCCACTAAGTCAAAAGTACAGTGTTCAGAGTTTAATCATGTGAATATTGTGCAGTCATCAGCTTGGTTTAAAGTGAAGGTATTTATTGAGTAGTACTGGAATGGATACAGGCGTATTCCTAGACTTCCCTCTGGGTATCTCCAGCAGGTAGCAGCCTGATGGGAGGCATTAATATCTTCGACTATTACATGTATTCCTAAAGTGATATTGTAGGCACACTGATAAGCTATCACTAAGGAATATTTCCCCGTTCCCAGAAATTGCAACAAAAGTGTAATTTTTCTGGTTGTAAAGATGCAGTGAAGCTTGCCTTTTTTGTGCTTTCTTGTAGTTAATTGGTGCCAGGTTCCCTCTGCACAAAACTGGCAACATCACTTTGTGAATGTCTCTTGTTTACTGCCAAATTTCTCATCTCATCATGAGCATATGCTAGTGGAAACACTAGACACTTCTAATACTCATTTCCTCTTCAAAATTCATTATTCCTTTATTAGATGCACGTGTGGCTTTGCGCGTAGAACAGGCTGTTCTGTGAGGAGTGCAGAGGCTGTGACACTAGACACTAGAACAGGCTGCCCAGAGAAGCTGTGGCTGCCCCCTCCCTGGCAGTGTTCAAGGCCAGGCTGGATGGGGCTTTGAGCAGCCTGGTCTGGTGGAAGCTGTCCCTGCCCATGGCAGGGGGGTTGGAACTAGGTGATATTTAAGGTCGCTTCCAACCCAAACCTTTCTGTGATTCTAAGATTCTATGAACAAAACTACTGCGTCCCAGCTCCTATGTCTGTTCCATGATGTTTTTTCCCCTGTAGGGCTTGCTTTTCTCCTCTACCTGCTCCTGTTTATGTTCCTTTCTGACTGGATAAACTGCAGTGTGCCCTGTAACTGATTCATGTTGTCACTGGCCAGCCAGGCTACACAACCCGTGGCCAGCTGTGATGAAAAAAACTGCATGAAAAGTTCATCTTCTTAAAATATTTTAGACTTGTATAATTGAACAGAGAGTTCAAACTGATTGATTATAGTGTTCAGAATTTAGTTGGGGACTGAGCAATAGGCATGTAGCATAATTGTAAGTACTGCAGTTTAAAAGTACTTTCAAATGCTTTGCAAATTGCTGTAGTGAATCAGAAAAAATTATTCCTAAGAGCAGTTGTGGGAGAATCAATATTTGTGAGTCAAGGTAACTTAGAAAGTTTGTGTTGGAATGTCTCTAGTTCTGCTTGAGGAATCAAAAGAATGTTTTTCTAACCTTTCTTTGCCTGCGTTTTTCCTGTTAGTTTAGAAAAGTGTCGGTTGATATAATTCTCTTAAATAGCTCTTAACTGTGGATTTTACTTCATTATTCAGTACTGAAATAAATTATGTATTACTATAGCAAACACGGTTGTAAGGTAGTCTTCACTATGGGCAGATGTTAACAAAAATATTCTCTAAAAAATCTTAAAGGAATAATTACTGATCAGAGTAATCATGTTTAAGCCAGCAGGACTGGATAGAAAATAGATATTTAATAAAAGTGCTTTGATTATGAATAAAAGGTTAGGGGCATTCAGCTGTCTTGGTTAACATATACTCTAACCATGTTTTGGGTTGTTTTTGTTTTTATTATGAAACAGGCTCAAAAATAAAGAAGTTAGTGTATCCCGCAGGTCTTATGGGTATTGGTGCCTCCATGTATTATCCTCAGCAAGCGGTTGCTGTTGCAAAGGTCAGTGATGATACCTTTCTTTGATGAAGTCTCTTTTACTTTGATTATTGCCTCCTACCTTCAAATTAACTGGTAATCTGTTCCTAAAGGTCCTGTCTGTGTGCTTGGCACTTAACAGTGTGGTAGTTACTTTGTCAAAGAACACACAGTCTAGGCTGAAAGACAGTCAGTCATTCTGTTTCTTTTAGTGCCTTTTTTTTTTCCCCCCAACATCTGCAGTAGTGCCTTCAGTTTGAGGAACAAAACTTCCTTTCTGAATCTCTAATCTCAAGTAATTATAAATTAATGTAAATATGTTTAGTAAGTACAGTTTGCATGTTTAATTACAACACTAAGGAAGCCTGAAATATCTTGAGAGTAAATGAAAACAGGATTTGAAAGAAAGAAAGGGAAGAAAAAAAAAAAGGGAGATCGTATAGAGAAATCATAGGAACAACATTTTGAGATAAACATTGTTACTGAAGTTCTGTTGGGTAGAGTTTTAAGAAAGATAGCATTCACATTCTGGAATGGAGTAAGAACTGCTGCTTACTGGATGCCTTTCATGTTTATGTATTTGTTGTTTCAGGCGCATAAGAAACATGTTAACTTACAGTTGCTTAAGTAGGTTTCCTGTGGAAGAAAACTGAAGAGACCAGACAATTGCTTACAGCCCCAGCTGATGTCAGTTCCTGTGCCTTGCTGTCCACACTTAATTGTGCTGGCAGATTCCTCAGTTCTCCACTACATTCTTTTTCAAGTCCAGCTTTTGACTACTCACAGTGCACACATTTTAGTGTGTCAGAAATTCTTTGTGTTTCAGATGTTGGTAAATTGGCTATCCAGTTATTGGTGACTTGTGAGTTGTACTGAGATGTCTGGATGAAAATATGATATTCTCAAGAACGTACAGTGTTCTTTGAAAACTGAAAGGTTATTGATTGGGGAGAGTCAAATATGCTGTGGTTGAGTTCTGCCAGTGTGATGATAGCCTGATCTTCGATGGAATCTTTTTTTTAGTGCTTCCAGATTCAGATGCTGTAAATATAGGTAGTTCTGTTGGCTTATTCTCAGGGAGTGAAAATTATGCAAGCGGCATTAAAACCATCAAAATTTAAGAAGCTTAGAGACATTTCTGTGGAAACTGTGTATTAAAATTCTGGTTGCCTTCTGAACAGTGAAGGGGGAAGTGATTGAACAGTGTTCAAACTGCTGTTACTGTTTTTAAAGAAGCTCAGTTCAGTCTTAACTGTGGATTTGCTACTAACAGCTTCACAATACCTTGTTTATTTTACAAAAACTTTGAAGTGCAGGATTGCCCTTTGATTAATTCACAGTTCTTAGTCTGACTGTAACGAAAAATCTGATATGAGACCATGAGCCTGAAACTTGGTTGGAATAGGTTTAGCTTTGTTGACTTGGTCAGGACACCAGATGTATGTGTTTAGAAACTTCTGTAGAGACAGTGATACCCTAGATACAGTTTTGGTTCCTCTCTCTCGTGCTTTTCTTAAAGAAGCAAAGTTTTAAGCATGTCAGATCTTACTATCCATAATTTTTATGCTTCAATCTGCCATTGGAAGCAGTTTCCTCTCTAGTAATTATTTTGAAATGTTTCGTAGACCTTGCAAAAATTTTCTGTAAGCCTAGAAAGGGATGCCTGCAGTACAAAGCTCACTTGCCAAGTTAATAGAACAGTATACAAAACATTCTGGAACATAATTTTTAATTTTTTAATTTTTTACATTACGTTCTTTTTTTCTTTCACATTTGAGTACTTCATTACTGGTTTTTCATTTACAGTGATGTAGTTCCCTTCATTTTGTAAACTTTCAGATTTGACCATACTTCAAAAGACTAAAATAGGTTTTGGTGGTTTTGGTTTTTTTCCTTCCCACCTTTATTAAAGAATTTCCATTGAAGAGCTGGGAATAAACAGAGCAAAATATATTTGCAGCTGAGGTGCTACACTTGTTGCATCTGTCTGGAAGAAAACTTTTTTCTTTAATTAAAATGTATGAGTTGATACATGAAGTTACAGCAACAGAATTCATCATTGGTAGTAGGTAGTTTTCTGACACTATTCATCCAACTGGAGATGGAAGAAATGCATAGACTAATATTTTTTTTCCCTGCTTTAGTAATCATTCTAATAAATCACAAATTTTTAAGGGATTTATTTCCTCACTGCTACTATGACATTAATTTGTATAAGCTTGAACAAATGGTCAGGCTGTATATGTGCTGAAGGAACTGAATTTAATACAGAGTTTACTTTGTCCTAGGGGAACTTTAAACTAGTGTTTTGGAACCGTATTGCTTTCCAGCTAATCATAATACATTCAAAATATTTTGTACTTACTGTAGCTTATCTTCCATCTGGAAAAAACTTTCATTATGAAGTTACTTAAATCAATCTCTTTATCATTAGAATTAATTTTCGTTCCTTGTTAGTAAAACTCAAATTTCCTGAAGCAGTGTGTTGTGCTGCTTCTTGAAAGAAAGAAGAGCTTCCTAATAAATAAGTTTATTTCTTTGACTATAAGCTAAATTATTTCTGTGTCTTTTGACCCCATACCTTGTCCCTTGCCCATTTCAGTCCATAAGTCATGAACAGTTGTACTGGCACAACTGGGAGCGTGACATGATAACAGGAACTGTAGGGTGAAAAGAAGGAGTTGGGGTCACTTGATCCATGTTTACTTCAGAATGAAATGCTTATGAAATTGTGCTATTACTACTTTGTAAACCATGTAAATGTAGAAAAGCCAACAGATTCTCAGTTTAGTTTCTTAGCATGCAATGTAGATAAAGAATTGCTAACCATAATTCTGCTCATAATTTTGACATACAACATATGGTATAGTCAATATTACAGGCTTATGGTCCTGTGTGGAATCAAAATATCGGAGCCTGTTTACATGCACATTAGGCCTTAGAGACTGTTGATGCTACCTCGGTAATGCCTAGTACAGGTGTTTATGGCCTAAGGTCACTTTCAAACTATTTGAGTCCCTGTTGAGAACCACTCAACCTGACTTTTGAACTTGTTTGTTCAAACTTTAGCATACAAACTTACTTGCAGTGTTGCCTTGAACAGAGATGGTATTTCAGCATGTTGTAATTTAATACAAACAAGCTGGAAATTGTTATCTTCCAGAAATTAAGGATTCCAGATGACTGAATGGGAAAACTTGTCCCTCTTTGAAAGGAACTCTTTGTATGAATGTTTGAATGAGTACTTTGAAGAACTGAATGAACTGTTTGTATTATTACTGTTCTTTTGACTCTGCCTGGATGGAACTGCCACTCCCAAGACTAGTGGTGGGAACTGCAGTACCCACCTGCTTCCTCTTCAACTGCTCCGTGAGAAAGAGAGGTATAAAACACGAGCCTAACACATGACTGTAGTGTTGTATTCATGAGAGGATGCATTGGGTGGTTACAAAAATTTCTTGGCCATGTTCCTGTTGACCCTGTAATTTACAGCTTACAGTCTATCTAGAACTGTATTTTTCAACCCATGCGAACTGTGAATGGGTGTGTGAGTCCCAGCTCTTGGGAGGTGTGTACAGTGTTGAAACATAGTTTAGTCTGCCACAGTCAACCAATCTGGCTCGCTGTGCCTTGTGAGGTAGCTACTTTACTCCAGCAGCGTGAATGACCAATTTCTCATTTAGTGCAATTCATAATTCACTTGATCATATGACTCCTATAATAAGAATATTTTAAAGTATGTACTGTTAGGTATTTAGAGTGGTTTTAAGTAATTTAATAGAGTATTTTTAAGCAGGAACAAGAAATGGCTTATGGATAGTTGTTTCCCACTTTATGTTGATAGCCATGTGCTCAATAATATTGCAGACAAAAAAATTCTCTGTTTATTTTTCAGTCCTGGTAGGTTTATGCTGCTTGCATAATTGATCACACTATCTTCCCAGATGAGCCGTAGGCTCCTTTGACTTTCAAAACTAGTTAGTTGAAGTACTTGAGAATGGACACTCCTGGTACTGAAAAAGAAGATAACTGTCTCTACCTGTAATGTTTGAATTGAGGGATTTTGGAAATATAACACATTCATCCCTGGAACAGTTAATGTGTTGGGTTTTTTTTTTCTGGTGACCTTTATCATCTTCAAATACAGAGAAAACTCAGTGCATCATACTGACTTGTTTTAAACCAAAGTACAACTGTAATTGTCAAATGTGGTGACAAATATGCTAGCTCTTTGTGTTTAAAACAGCCTGAATCTTAGATTTAGTTGTGACTGAAATGTAGTTGCTGATTTGGGTTTGTTTTCTTTTAATTCTAATTATTAAGTAGCCTCTTCTGTAAGGTAGTAACATGACCTCTGCCCAGAAGCAGATCCCTTACCACTGTGGTACATAGCTGGCCATGTTCTTCAGACAAAGAAAGGGCAGTGATTCTTTGCACCAGTGGTAGAACTGCAGGATGTTGTGGATGCTAAAAATTTGCACAGGGCTCAAGGGGAAGTGCCACAAGTTCATAGAAGGGAAATTCCTTGGGCACTGTTATACTTGTAGAAATCACCTCTGGCTCAGGAAATCTGTGAACAGTGAATTGTTGGAGACTGGAAGAAACTTTAAAAATTTCATTCAGAAACTTTTTCACAACCATCAGAAAACTGTTTCAGAAACATCATTTGTGCTTGCCATGTTCTCATAGTTGTGGTTTTCCAGCTTCCCCTGCTGTGGAAGATAGGGTGATACCTTGTTATTTCTTGATTTCATAAGTTTTTTGGTTTCATATCTGTCTAGTTGGGCAAATTGTCCAGTTTTGCATTTCTTTATTTGTAAGAAAACTGATAGTGATATGAAAGTGAGTATTGACCTGAACCTGGAGCTGTAAAAACCTAACGCTCCTGAGTTTTAAAGGATGCTGTGAATATTACAGTTTCATATCATGTATGGGGCAGTTAAGGTTTTTTCCTGTTGTAAAATTATCTGTTAGTATAACATAGCAAACATGGTCTTGCCTAGCTGTCTTCTGTTTTGGGAGTTGACAGCTGGTTATTCATTACAGCCGTCTATCAGAAAATTAGGTCTTTTTTCTAAATAGAAAATAAAAAGAAACAAAGGGGTACTCTTACTGTTCTGTCAAGGCAGTGGAAATGTAAAATTGCAAAACAGCAACTAAGTAGGTTGTGGGCTATTTTTGTCAAAATTAAGAAATAATTTGCGTATGTTAAAACCGTTGAACATTGAATATTAAGTTGTTTGTTAAATAAATATTAAGTTCTGTTAAATAAACAGAATTGTTTCCATGGACCATCATTCCACCCATTTTTACACCAATATGTCTTTCAGGTAGCCTTCAAACGCTTTTTTAGCAAGTTGGCTTTTCTTATTCCTCATGTGTCATTTTTATTTTTTTTTTCTAAGATGTTTATTAATGCTGTACACCCTGAGCTTGAGCAGAAAGATGTTAAAGATCTTGTGTTTTGAGACTTCTACTTAAACACGAAGCAAAATAATATTTCCCAGATTATTAAATTCGTGCTTTCTAACATCTTGTTTCAAAGGTTGCTGGTACACAGCTGTATGACTGGAGTCTTCAGGGATATATTGCTGTAGAATCTCTTTGGAAGGATAATCCTAAGAAGAAGAAATCTGGGGAAAAAAGTGGTAAGGTAAGAAGTCCGAGCAACTTGATTTCTGAGTTTACCACTGCATTTTCAGACAAAGTGTATACAAACAGTAGTGCTTTCTTTCTATTCACTCTGACCCAGCTTTTATCTCTGAAGACAAAGATTTCTAAGCTGTGGAAAATTATTAAACTTATTTCAAGTTAAACTTTCAGAAATGCTGTTTGGAAGTTTTCTTTAGTATAGTCTGCTGAATGTTTAATAGGAAACTTGGGAGTATTGTGATTGGAATGCTAGAGATCAAGGCTCTTACAGTCTTATTATTTAAAAAAACAAACTCGGTTGGTTTGGTTTTTTTAATTAATTTGACAAGCTTCATTCTTAACCTGAAATAATTCTTTTTTTTTCATTACATATCTCCTCCTTGGAAGAGAGAAAATAGAATCTTGTTTCCAATTAGTTCCTTTGAGTGTTCATGAATATTTGCTCTACCATGATGATGTTATTGTGTGCTGTTCTATTAAATGTTACTATCTACTCATTAAAACCAGCACTTTATAGGGATATGTGGTTCTTGAGGATTTAGTCATAGATAACTAGCTGCGTGGTTTAATACTTACAGCCCTATTTTAGGAAACTTTGTTTAATTGGTTCTTATCCAGAAGACTGCCAATAAAAATTGAGTTTCTTTTGGATCTGCTTTGAACTGGGATCCTGGTGAGGTACCAAGCACAGTCATTGCTGAAAGTTTCTGCTTTCTAGATTTCCAATTGTTTATCAGTGAACAAGGGGTCAGACTAGCATTCACTTGCATGGGGTTTTTTAATTTTTTTTTTTAGCTAGAATAACATTCGCCTTTATTTTCTGTTCTACAAGTCACTTTGGTTTTTCGGTCTGGCATTACTGTTCTGTGTTATGCTAAGCAGACTGATGTCTTGCCTTAGAGATGCCTGCATCTGATGACAGAGCAAATAGTAATGTGCTGGCTTTGTTTTCCAGAGTTTGGCATGCACTTAGGTTTCTTTGACAGGATTTTTGAATTAGTGTTGCTCATACAACTAAGTGAATGTCTGCATTCTTATTTTCTGTTTTAGAATAGAACAGCTTTCCTTATTCCCCCTACAGAGCATCAGTGATACAGTAGGATTTCCTTGCTTCACCAGAGAAGGGAAGCCTTTTTTCCTAGCACTCCTGTGGTCCATGCTTATACAATACCACCATTTGAAGGCATGTGTGCCTTTAGTTAGTTTAAATGTCAGTGTCTCAGCAACTGTGCTCTTCCATAGTTGATTTATAGTCATGAAGGTGGTTGCTATATTTAAGTCATATTATTCAGTGTACATAAATGAATTTATCCTTGGGTTTTGAGTTAGTGTTTGCATTGGTATCTAACTGTTTGCTTATAAGTTTGTGTGTTTTAAAGCAGTGTATATTAAGAATTTATACTATTTTTTTAATGTATGTGTATTATATTTCTATATAAAACCACAGACTGGTTGAGATTGGAAGGGACTTCTGGAGGTCATGTTGTCCAACCCCCCTGCTCAAGCAGGGCCACCTAGAGCTGGTTGCTCAGGACCATGTCCAAGCAGCTTTTGATTATCTCCAAGGATGGAGACTCCACAACCTCCCTGGGCAACCTGTGCCAAGGCTCAGACACCCTCACAGTGAAAAAGTGTTTCCTCAGAGGGAACCTCCTGTGTTTCAGTTTGTGCACATTGCCTTTGGTCCTGTCACTGGGCACCTCTGAAAACAGACTGGCTCTGTCCTCCTTGCACCCTCCCTTCAGGTATTTATACACATTGATGAGATCACCCTGAGCCTTATCTTCTCCAGGCTGAGCAGTCTCAGCTCTCTCAGCCTTTCCTCATATGAGAGATGCTCCAGTTCCTTGATCATCTTTGTGGCCCTTCACTTCACACTACCCAGTATGTCCATGTTTCTCTTACACTGGGGAACCCAGAACTGGACACAGTACTTAAACTTTGTCTGTACAGATGATCAAACATAATACAGAGCTGTAGTGAATTGTAGGATTTTAGTTTTGTATATCTATAATTGTTTGCTTCTACCAATTGCTGGATGTTATGATTGGCTAGTAGTGTCCAACAGAGCAGTACACAGTGACATCATTATGTTAGAAGAAATATTAATAATTACAGCCCCCCCCCAAAAAAAAAAAAAAAGGAAATAAGATTCTGGTTTGCTGCGTCAAGTGCATTTTGCATGCTATGAAACGATACCAAGTTTCAAAATAAGTGCAGTGTGATGGGTTAACAATACTAGTCAAAGATGAGCACCAACTTGTGAAGAAACAGAAACTGATTTTAATAAATCATTACCTTATGTAGTGTCTTGATCATAATTTAGAACCTGCCTGAAGCTTCTGGAGTTAAGTATCTTAGTGATGGTTTTGTTTTTTATCTACTAGATGTTTCTGTTATGCCACAGGAGCAAGCTGTCTTTGTAGTTGTACCTCTCTGATACAGATAAGCAAACTGACTTCTAGGAAATGTGTAGGTATCTAAGTGAAGCAGAGTGTAAGAGACTGGAGGGCTGTGCAAGTTGATTAAATGTGTGCCAGGAAGAGCCGGTACGGTGTTTAGGGAACCTTTTCTACTGCTACTCAAAGAAATGAAAGTTCAGGTGTGTAACATAAAGCTTCTGTGGTTTGAAATTTGCTTCTAAACTCACTGTGTCTTTAATTCCTGATTTCTAAGCACCTGTGCTTGTTCTGTTGATTAAAAACTGCTGTCCTAGCTGCAGATTTCCATCTCTTATTTTAGTTGTTTAATGTAGCCTGGCAAAACAGGTGTTTTGAGAACAACTTCGAACCAGCAGAAGGGCTGCTGACTGAGCCAGTTCAGACTAGGTTGGCTTAGAAATGCTCACATGTCCTGTTCAGTTGCTGAGTCTTGAGAGGGGAGATGTTCATCAGTGGATGCTTGTCCTGTGTTGGCTTTAGGTGCTTCAGTAAATGCATTTGTATAGCTCTTTGAATAAACAAAGGTTAGTTAATCATACTGTACCTTTCCTAAAACTTAGGCCATCAAAAAGTATCTCAAAACCAGGCAACATTAAAATATTTCAGAAAGACAAACTGACAGCATCAGTAAAAATTAGCTGAGCTTTTTATTTTATTGTGTCCCAGGCTTTCAAAAGGAAACACGTGGTTGTTATTGGAAGGCAAAAACTTCTGAAGCTTTCATCTTATTATAAGGCTTATTCAAGCACTTGCTACCTCAGCAGAAAAACAAACGACATGCAAAATTGCAGAGACCACTAAGTAAACACACTTCTTTCTCTTCCTCCTTGCGGAATCTTTAAATCAAACCCCTTAGTTGCCAAAATGTTATTTGCACAAAGGAGCAAAATGCCATTGAATGGTTTCCTCCTACAGTTCATCTAATTGTTCCGATGTTGTTGGTGTTAACTGTTGCCATTTAACTTGATGGATTAGGGAAGATAAAAAAAAATCGTGTGACTCAAATGAAGAAGCACTATGCACTTGATGAAATAGCCTGCATTTCAGATGTTCAGTGATCTCTTGCCACTGGAGCATACAGCTTCATTGTTTCTTTGTCCTCTGAAGTTGTTAAAGAGAGGATATTGTCTCCCTGGTGTCTGGAGAAGCTGAACAGCAGTTGTAAAAGGTCACATGTTTTTGAAGTCACTAGAATGTGGACTGAAAAGTATTTCTAACGGAAGAAGCCTGCCCTGAAACTCCTGTGGTTTATAAAATAAATAGTTGAGAATTTGGGGGGGTAGGGTTGGGTTTGTGGTTTTTGTTGTTTTGGTTTAATTGCTTAGGGTTTTTTTTTAAGATAGCATTGTGATGTTCTATCGATATTAGGTCAGTCACAGTTAATAATTAACACCTCTACCTTTTTTTATACATGTAAGCACTGGTATGTCCCTCATGAGATGTGAGAGGTGAAGTCTACCCTAGAAAACCTTTTCTGTCTGTCTCTAATGCTGTATCGTTATATTTTGTTCATATGTGGTTATACTTTTTCTTCATATAGATGATTAGGTCCACCAGATAGTATCAACTTTTCTAGCAAAAGAATTTCAGTTTAAGCTGCATTTTTATTGGAGCTTTTACTGGTACAGAAGTGTCATGGAAGAAAATGAATACTTCTAACTACCATGTATTAAAATTGGCAAAGCATTCTAAGGTAGATTTGCGATTTCTGTCTTAATTTGACAGCCCTGTGAAAGAATTGGGTTGGTTTTGTATATTTATTTCTATTGTCATACTAGGCAGCTAGATTTCTTAACTAAATATAAATGTTATTCTTGAGTTGTTGTTAAAGCAGGAATAACCCATTTCTGGAAACCATGCCAGTGCAATAGATGTTACTGGTTTTGTGACCTTCACTTTAGCATTTTTCCTGTTGCTACGCAAAGGATTCGTGCAAGTAGTCAAGCAGTATATGGGTGGCTCTTCTTGGCTTGTGTTAATTTGTTACATTGCTCATCATTTGTTTGATAGTCAAAGGTACCACAGCTGTGCCTAACTTCGTGTTTGTGCAGCCATGTCATTAAAATAGATGTGCTATGTTAATTTTCCGAAGGTTTTAGGAAACAAAAACCTGTGCCAAATTGAGGTCATATCAACTGAAATCTTAAGCTGTGCCAAGAAAGATGAATTCCAGGACCTTCTGCTGCTACATTTCAAAACACTGTAGCTGGAGCCCCTCCATAGAGCAAGTCAGTCTGATAAGGTTTCAAATATGCTGTTTACAGTACAGCATTCTGGTACACTGAAGCTGGCTTGTTGAAGGAGCCAGCTCTTCAGGATGTCAGGATGAAAGCCCTCTGCTAAAACTACACAAGTAAAAATCAGTGTTCACGTTTTTTTTCTTTCCAGAAGGATTAAACATTTCCCTGATAAGGGACAGCAGGAGTAGTTATTCAGTTTCTGTATACTTTATCTCAATATGAAGTCGACAACTTTTCTACTTCTTCCCTCAGGTAGAGGAGATGGTAGAAGAAATGTAACCGCCTTGTTGGGAGGCCAGGTATATTTTGAGGGCTTTGTCTTCTGAAAATGTTTTGCTTACTTGAGTGATCTTTACTCACAAGAAGTAATTTCACAAAAATCAGTGGAATTAGTATTAACATTTATATTATCAGTTTGTAAATCTTCAGGGGAAGTATTAATGAAATGGAAGATGTGTCCCTCAAACCTTCTTTATCTTACACTTGGTGTGCAAAATTTGTAGAGAATCATTCCAACTTGTGCCTTTACGCAATTTTTTAGAATGATTTTGTTTGAAACCCTTTTGAGTAGCCTTAGGCGGCATCAAACTTTCGTTACTGGGGTTTTGCAATTATGAAGGCTAATACCCTTCATTGCCTTCAGCTAATCTTTGTGAGTAACTAGTCCCTCTGCTCTGCCCAATATCATAGTTCATGCAAGATCATCTTTTTCTACATTTCTTTTTTTTTTTTCTCTACACTTTTTTGCTTTCCAGGGCCTACAAGTGTTGAAATGGCTGAACTGTCAAGCCAGTGAATTGCAGCTGCTTTTTGTTGGTTTTTTTTTTTTCTTTTTTTTCCACAGCGTTCTCTGTTTAATACTGGCTGAGTTTATCAGCTTTAATACCTGTTCGTAGGTCAGAGGGATGGATAAACCATAGCAGCTTGAGGATTTTGTGCAACAGTATAAACTCAAGGACTGTGGTTTTCTATGCGAACAGAAAACTGCTTGAAGATCAGTATTTTGGAGCCACAGTTCAATGCATACCACCTGTAAGTGTCTAACAATCAGGTCCTGTTTGTCAGTCAGCTCATTTGATGTTTATTTTCATGAAATGCAGCCTTCTTGCCGTTCCTCTGCTGCCTCTGGTTGTGATACTTCCTTAATTTGTACTGTTGCATTGTACTGTAGGGTTGTTAAAATGACTTTGTCTTCAAGTGACAGGGGCACGTGTTATGGCACCAAGTCACTTAAACCCAGGTTTTGTTCCGGCCAGTGAGTTAGTATGTACTGAAACGCATAGAAAACCAATTTTCTTCAGGTAGTTCTCACTTTGTCTTGTCTTTATACCTCTCAAGGCTTTTGCGGTATTGTCAGCTATTCTGGATCCTCTCTCTTCCCCCGACACTGAATTGGGCACCCGTTGTTTTTACTGAAGTGGCCAAAATGTGAAAAACCAGAACAGCACTACAGCTCTGAAAACACCCTCCTTCTTAGGGCTTGCTTCTTTCTTCGTGTGTGTGCTCTTTCCCACTTTGGTCCAATCACTGATAAGACCTTACAGAAAACTGACCTTTTTTAAAATTTTCTTTTTCTTTTTTTTTTCTCTCTATCATTTGATTATTTAAACAGCTTCAGAGGTTGAGAGAAACTCTTGTGGCTTATTGTTTGTAAGTCACCATCTGTGACTTACTAATATTTTTTTTTACCTATAGATAAATATTTATTACAAACATGAAAATATACAAATATTAAAAATCTATCTATATGGCTATCTCTGAGTATTGGATTAAGCGACAGAGTGCTTCCAAGTGCAAAGACTGCTCAGTTTTGGGTGCTGGTTTCCTGAGCTTGCTCAGAACAAGCGTCAAGGAAATTGTGGACCTGAACTTTACTGATTTGAAAGCTCTGGTGGAAGTGTGTTGACTGGGGAGCTTTACTGTCAGCATCATAGATTGTGACCGTAGTAAACCTTAAATGGTGTTTTAAGAGGAGAGTTTTTGAGTCGCTTGTGTTTTGAGCATCCTTTAAAACGCAACATAAGCATCTGAGAGCACTTCTTTCTACAGCAAATACTTGTTAAGACTTGTCTTTGGTAGCTTCTGAACAGACAAGCAAAAGTTTGGTCATCTGAACTAAAAGATAAACATTACATCTGACAGAAAATACTCTTTGCTGTCCTATGCCCTCTATTTGTTATTTGGTAGTAAGAACAATAACAGAGTAAAACTTGTAAAAATTATTACTTCTTTTGGATTGGATCCTTAGTATGGGCAGTGTTGAATTGAAATGTTTTAGAGTGGGAAAGACAGAGTCTACTCTGCAAAAAGTTGCGCTTTTTAAGGGCAGCTTAGAGTAACATTTTTAAAAGTGCTTCGTATTTCTAGAGAGTCAAGCTTAAGCTCAACTAAAAATAAAAGAAGGAGGAGAATAAATTATTGATTGACTGGAGGAGCATGAATAAGGTAAACCTCTTTTATTCTAAGCAATATGTTGCAAACAAAAGAGAACAGAAGAGAAGGTAAATGATTAATCTGTGAGGCCAGATGAGCCTTTGTTTTTCTTTTGCAGCTTTTGGCTGTTTTTCTGGTGGCCAGACTCTACCTTTCAAAAGTGTTCTGTCAGCATAAGAGAGATGTATACTGACCTTTGGAGTTACAATTTCTAAGGTTAGGTGCTGGTGTAAGAGGGCCTGGCCATCTGCAAGACTTTTGAGAGGTGGCCACAAAAACTAACTTCTGCGTCTGGCTAGGCTGTCAGGTGAGCAAAAAGCCGTCACACATTAGGGGTTTTTTGGCACTAGGCTAGGTTGCTTTGGGGCATTTTTCTCTGTATGGACAGAAAATTTTCAGAGAAACCGTTGCGGTTTAAGTTTGTTCTTTAAAATTTAGGTCTCGGTGTATCTCTGTTAGATACTGTGTGCTAAGTTGGGGTGGGGTTTTTTTTATCACTAATGTACTGAAACCTTACAAAACGCATTGTGTACGGTCCCCTTAGTTCCAATATTATTTTCAATTTCAAATAATGCTTTTCTTTTTTTTTTTTTAATCCCATAGAATCCCAGTGTATTGAGCACTTTACTAATTAATGTGTTATGGAGATTTCTTATCAGTCAGCTTTCAGAAGTGTAAGAATGCAAAATATTTCCCCTTCAGCTGTGGGACAGAGCTCTGATGCGTGAACTCCTCTGGCCACCCAGATATATTATGGAGTGCTTGTGTTGAGCCAGAAAGTAGAAGGACAGTCTTGAATATGTGCCTGCTTCTAATTATGGGAAGGTATCATGGCACGGAGGAGGTCTGTCTTCTGGGTCATCGATCTAAATGCATTTTTTGCTTCTGATCTGGTTTTGAGTGTGACTAGAGGACTTTGACGCTTTGTTGTAGAATTAGGTGTGTTTATTTCCTGTGCCAGCTCAAAGGACATCCTTTTCTGGCTACCCATATTACTGCTTGATGGGTCTCACTCAGCCTCACTATTTACACTGTGGGCACATACAGTGAATGGAGTTAAAAGAACTTCTTAATTGCTAATCCAGCAAATGAGTTAGTGTGAGGAATGACAGTTCAGCAGTGGATTGGCTTGCATTAAATAACTCAGGCTTAATAGATCTAGTGAAGACAAGCCCTGTGATGAGATCTACTGAGCTCACAGAAACAAAGGAACTGAACAAGACCCCTATTTGCTTGTACATTTGTGTGTGTTGCTTTGGGTTTTTTCCCTCTTTTGGGACCAAAATAACCCACCAAAACCAAATCTTACCTAGATGATATTTCTTTTTACAAGTTGAAACAAGCAAATGGAAGAACATAGAACTCTCTGTGAACAATTTATTTTTAGTTCATTTCTTCAGAGTTGAGTAATCCCTGAGTTGAGGCATCATGAGTCAAATTATTTGTTATAAATTGTAGCAAAATGTCGTAACTTACAAGTTCCTGTACAGGAAAATCACAGAGTAGATCATTATTTTGAAATGGGTGTGGTTTGTGAATGTGATTTCTTATACTATGACATATCCGAGGTGGAGATCAAAACAACATGGGTTTTTGAAAGAAAGGATTACATTTTAAAGGTCTTGCTAGGCTTATTTTGAATAAGAAATTTAAGAATTATCTTCATAATTGAACCTTGATGTATTGAGTCCATACCTCCAGCGCAGCATGTGTGGTCTCATAGACTCGGTGCCTTATTCATAGTGTTTCATTTGTGCTGGGACATAAATTTGACCTATCCTGTGAAATGTTTATGCTTCCCAGTCTATTCTGGCTTATTTTGTTATGTTTTCCATCACTTTTAAGTCATGTTGGTAAAAAAATATTTTTAGAATAAAAAGAAAATGCCATTTAATTTTCATGTGTAGAATTTAAGAATAATTGAGGCTGGGTGTGACCTCTGGTCATTTCATCCCACCCCCTGTTCAAAGCAGAGACAGCTTCAAAGTTAGATTTTGTGGCTCAGGCCTTATGCAGTCAAATGCTGAATATTTGCAAGGATGGGGATTCAAAAAGTTCTCTGGAAAACTTGCTCCAGTGCTTGATCAGTGGTGTGACTCCCCCCCCCCCCCCTAGATCTGATACAAATTTGCTGTGCTTCTGTGTCCTTTGCTTCGTGTCCTTTTGGTGTGAACCTGTGAGAAGAGCCTAGCTCTTCCAAATATATAAATGCCCGTTAAGGAATTGTAGAGAGCAATTAGGTTCTGCCTTTGGTCTTCTGCAGGCTGAACAGACGCACATGTCTCAGCCTGTGCTTGTATGTCATGTGCTTCTGTCCCCTAACCATGTGTGTGGCTATTTACTTTTTTTTTTTTTAATTGATACCTATATAGAACAATAATCAAATGCCTGTTTTTTATAGCATACTTGGCAAATAGATAGACCAGACGCTCTAACAAGCCTCTCTTTGTTCTTTGATTTCTGTCATGTATTTCGGGGAAAGTGTGAAAACACTCTCTCAAAGGATATGTACTAAAAGAGACCTATTGTATAAATCCACACAGAATTCAGAGAATGCAAAATAGCAACTACTCTGTGGGAATACATCCTCTGTTATTAGTGCAGGCAAAATGAGTCAATTAAAGCATTTCTGTTGAACTACTTGTTCTTTCAAATACTTTAATTGCTCAGTGAACTACAGGAAGACTAAAATCTAGAAACTGTTTAGGAGACGATCATATTTGAGTATGTTATACTGAATTAGTCTCATCAACTGCTTGATTTTGCAGAAGCTTTTGTTTCAGCTTTTGAAGAGGGTTTCTGTTCTGGCAAAAACATTAACTGTGGATTTCCTCAGTTGAAATTTTGTGCATATTTTTCCCTCCTCAAGGGTGATGCAGATGGTGACAAGCCCCTGGAAGTCCATGCCGCTTCAAACGAAAAGCGAGCCCAGAAGTAGAATGTCAACTCGCTTGGTGTCAAACAGGTAAAGGATAAAGACAGATAATAGTATGTGGCTACAGCAGCAAAATAACCTGGAAAAGCTAAACATTTGCAAGTTTGACTTGTAGTTATCTTCTTCATATTGATGAAGAAAGAGGGGAAGACAGTTTTGTCTTAACATTTGTCAAGAATATGCGTGGTCTTTAATGCTGTTTAACAAATCTAAATTCTTCAAGGAAATACATATCTCCTCCAAGGGTTCTGAGTTAATTTAGCAAGGCCTTGTTAATGTATTGTTAGTTGTTTTGGGGTTGGTTTTTTTTTTCCTTCTTCCCACTTCTGCCTGCCATATCAAAAACCTCTGCCTTCTTTGTCACATCTGTGCAGTGTGAAGGTGGGGAAGGAAGCCTCTTCCCTGCTGATACATTTTCTCTAAAGATTTGTCAGTGCTAGGGTACAGCATTATCTTACAGCCTGTAACAGTCCACAATGTGCCTGACCTTTTACGTTGATGCACCTCCCTAATGAGGCATGCTCCATCAGTTGGGAACGAATGGTGGAGGAAATGGAAGCAGCATTTCCCAGTTCTCCGAGACAGAAACTTGAGTTGAGACACCAGTTCCGTTTCTGACTTGGCCAGTAGGCTGCTTTCTAAACTCAAGCAAGTCAGGTGGCTGTTACAGTTTCTAGAAAACCAAAACAAAAACACCCTCTCACCTTTTTTAAGGTGGGTCAGTTTCATAGGACAAAAATTGCTCTGTGTTTGAGGCTTCTCACTACTAGTGATCGTGTAGTTGAACATCATTTAGTACAAAATACCAGTTAATGTCTGCTCTGTTATCAGTTGGTAAAGGGTGGCTTTTCTGAACATATTTTCTAGTTGCATGTCTTTGCCCTGTATTATTTTTGCACATTAGGTTAAAGACCTGTTTTTCAACAGAAAGTGATCCTAGAATTGCAGGGACTCCTCATTATTTTAGTTTGCAATGTTCCATTTACCAGCAAAAAAATTTTTTTTTTTTGCTTTCTAACTGCCAATTGTGTAAATAGAGTCCAGATGTAGAAAACTGCACCATTTTTTTTCTTCCTTCCGTGCATCATCACCAGTCACAAATGTTTGCAGATGTGATGGAATGCACACATCTGCTGAGCAACGGCGTTCCACTGTTACATGGTCATCTTTAAAAGCAAAACTAGTTTCTAATGTTGTGTTTCCCTTAATTTATTTTTAATTGCTATAGCTAATTCTCACAAGGGCAAAAAGGTATGTTGACTAGCTGATTTACTGAGTATATTAGATTTTCCTTCAGACATCTGAATATGAGTTCTTTAGGAATACACGTTTTGCTAGTATTTTTACAAAATAGCCATGTAAAATAAAAATTAAAAAAACAAAACAAAACACACACCCCCCTCCCCCAAAAAACGGAAGAACAGTTTTGTTTTGAGTAAAGATGCCCAGGACAACCAAGAGGAAGAAAAGCTTCTCTAAAATTCACTAAAATATTGTTCTTACTGTGAACTAGGTCAGAGCTACTAAATGATAAAAAGCCAGGAAAGTTGAACTTTTGTGTATGTATGTGGGACACTCTGCAAATATCAAGGTTCGTTACAGACAGAAACTCGTGAATAGCATTTATTTTCTTTTAGCATTTCTTGCTGTGTGAATGTAATTTCTGGTAGGTCATTATCTACTTCTTGAAATGCTAATGCTTTTTGCTTATGGTGTATTTTGGTTTTAGGGGGAGGTGGGTGGAAGGAAAGGAACAAAAGCTGTCAGGAAGACTTATACTAAAGTTGTTTTCCAGACCTTTCATCCCCAGGATTTTAGTCGTAAATATAGTCATGCTATATAAGTAAGCTTTGAGAGGTACCTCGCTAACAGCTGCTGTCTCAGATGTTCTGCTGGCTGTCTTTTTAAAGAGTGAAGGTGATTGCTCAGGTGCTTAAAGTACCTGGCTGCAGCTGGTTTTGAAATGTACTTGCTTTACCACGTGTTGTTTCTGGAGAAGATACATAAATGGAACGACTAGATTTTTTGACCTAGAGCAGCCAGATGGTGGAAGTTCAGTTCAGTATCAATTTTCAGCTGTTCTGTGGGGGTGGCGATTTGTTACTTCTGCTTAAAATCCAGTTATTTAACTCCATACCCAACTCCAGATGTGTTGTTGGATTTGGATGATGCCAAAGGTTGGAGAAGGCTGCCGTGATCTTTGAAAAGACATATTTGTTTGTTCTGAATGAGGTCAGTCCTGAAAGTCTCACTGTATTTTCAACTGTTGGCAATATTCCTAGTTGAATCTGGTTACTAAAATACATACAATCTCATTTTCCTTGTAAAGATTTGCCACAGCCTGAGACGCTGAATTGTGGATGGTCAACCAAGGACAAAATCACTTTGGGTTGGAGACGGTAACATATTTCTCCATTCCAAAAAACAGCAGCCTTGCACCTCCTTTATTATAGTATGTTTGTCATCAATAATTATATGCAAACTACAGCTCAAACCACATCCTATTGTGGGAGAAAAAAGCTTTAATTTTATCCAGCTGTTGTGCTGAAGAGTTGCATGGAAGTGACACGGCTCTGTGTTTTTCCATGAAGACAGCGTATCTCATTTTCACTCTGTTTGGGTTCTATATTTATGTAATTCCATTTCTTTGAGTTAAATTATGCTCGCATTACACCAGAGTAAGTGAGATTAGGAAAAAATGCACTTGGTGGGAATTAAAAAGAATTATTTTTGAGAAAGCTGGTTTATTACACAAGATTTCAGTTGGCGTTTTGTTGCTGTGTTCTTTCTCTTTTGTATTTCCGTAGAGTTCAGCTATAGGAATTGAGTTCTTTAGAACAGACATAATCATTAGTGCTCTAGTGTCAGTAATATGAAGAGTTAAATGTCTTTATTAGAAGTAAATTGCTGTTAAGAATGTTTCTCAAATAGATTTTGATTAGCTTGAGACATCAAAGGAAAAAAATTTTTTAATTGCACTTTGGCAATGGAAAGAAAAGGTCTGTGATATTTAATTCTGCTTTCTCCCTTCTTCCCTCTCCCCCTTATCCTCTATCCCCTTTTGGTTTCTTTTTGGTTATAGGTGAATTAAAAATATAGATAAGAGCAACAGTTTCCCAAGAAAAAGAGGAAAACCACCTGAATCCATTTTGATTTTGAATGTGACTAATCTGCCTTCTGCCTCAGGAAAGACTGACGATGTGCTGCTTGGGCTTCTGGTATAGAATCTGTGAAAGGACACTACGTATTTTGGGTCAGTCTGGAAACCTTGTCCTCAGTTCTGTAGTGGGACTCAAGTCTGCCCATGCTTGTCCCATTGCAGGATCAGCAAGTCTCAAAATTCCTCAGTCTCTCATTAATTATTTATATATAAAATTAAATTCCAGTAACACAAAGTGGTCCTGTTTTTTTTTTTTCCTCTCCTCCTGTCTTCTATAAACTCACGTATGTGACGTTTGCACAGTCGGTGAACAGTTCTCGAGATGCTTTTGACAGTGCCTGTGTGTTTTAACAGTGAGGAAAAGCTTGAAGTAGCATGATGTTTTGGCTAACATTAGCTAATAGAATTACAGATAAGAGCAATTACAATGACTCTTGTGTTTTGTCCGAGTTCTCCCCCTCCTTTCTATACAAATCTTCTGCCTCATCAGTGCCAGCGGGAGGTATATAATGAAGCATCTGTGAGTTCCTGTCTAGTAGATGGATGGGAATGGAGCTGTTAATGCTTGTTCTTGTTTTTGCTTGAATGCACAGCTCAATGGGAACCAGAACGTTACAGCGGTGGGAACCAGCTATAGAATGACTTGGCTTATTCCTGGCCAGGGGAGGGGAGGAAAAAGTGAAGCGAAGGGAAATACAAAAGCATTTCCAGCATTTTGAAATCTTTGCACAATAAACCCCTTTCATCATTTGTTGCCATTTCCATGAGACTGTCTTTTGGGGCGTGATGCTTCACAAGTTACTGTAATCCAAGTAGCTCGGAGTATTTAAAGCTGTGTTGGTGAGTCTTAAATGTTCCTAAATTAATCAGTGAATATGAGGAATGGGGGAAGGATGGAATTAAGTGTGTGCTTGTACAAAGCATTAACTTTCTAAAAAGAGAAGGGAAGAAAATACAAAGTCAATTGGATTCAAAAGGCTTTTAAACATCTTTATTATTACTTGGTTAGGTATTCCAGTTGAGTGTATTTCACAAACTTTTAGAAGAAAACAAACAGACCTTGGCAATGCGATTACCAGTCTGTGTGGGCATTATAAAAGGGCCAACTCTTTTTTTTTTTTTTTAATTATTTTTTTAATATAATTTTTTCTCTTTGTAACAGGCATGAGGCATGTAGTTGCCTCCGGCAGAAAAACAGTATCTCCCAACACGTTCAGTGCGTGGGTTTTATGATTGTTTTAGGCTGGTAAAGATGGATGTTGATTTAGCAAAGGGAGCAGGGTTCTTGTGTGGGGTTTGGGGGATGTGTGTGGTTTTGTTTTTTATTTTAAATTCACCAACATAGTTCAGACAGGCTTGGGAGGATCAAAGTTGTGTTTTTGTCAATAGTGGAAAGAAAATGGGAAACATCAGTCATAGCTGTAACTGCTCAGTTACACCACTCTTGCCCTACGAGTGTAGAGTTGTTCCTTTCCTTAATGATAGTCCTTCACTTATGCATTCTCATATCCTAGAGAAAATGATTACCATTGAGTTAGGAATACAGCTTGAGGTGCCTGTATTATTTTCGGTAATATTTGGCGTGTGCCACATGGGCATTTAAGAATGCGATTACTTGGTAATTCGGGTGTCTTCACCCCTAGACTCCACCAAGATGTGCTTTCCTCATTCTTCTTTTTGATGCAGTTGTGGGCTGTTCTGTTTCTCTTTACTGCCTGTGAAGGCAAAGTGAATTCTTTTTATGTCCAGTCTGTTTCATTAGCTAATTGTCTTTCAAACACAACAGCTTTTAATCTTTATTAGTTTACATATGTATGTGTGTGCATGTTTAAAAAATCCTGGGTTAAATGAGTATCACTCGACTTAAGTGCTTTTTACTTGATCATGTTTTCATACTGCATATTTATACTGCTGCTTAAAAGCATCCCCAACGATAGCCATCGAAACAGAATGCTTTTATCTAGCAGGAAAGGGCTGCCTGCGAGCACCTGCATACATGAATGATGAGGAGATGGTTCCAAAACGTGAGCAGGATAGCCTTAACTGAAATCCTTTCCTTATGTCTGCTGGTTTTTTTACAAGTACAGGAAATAAAATTTAAAAAAAGTTTCATGCTGGTAAGAGTGCAAGAGATCAGAAACATTTAACTTGCTTGGCACAGACTTTCCTAATGGGAACAAGAGAGAACTTGACCACTGCTCATATACATATGTACACATACACAGATGCGTGGAACTAACTTGTGCATGCCTGTGTTATCTTTTGCCAGACTTTGGCTGTGGGTATTACAACATAAGCTAAACCGAGTATATTCCCCACCCAAATTTCACGTCAACGGTTTCGTCATCCTTCCACTCCAGGCCTTTCGGCTTGGTAACTGGAGTCTGTGCAGCTGAGGAAATGGTGTTCTCGTCTCAGGATCCTCAGCTGTAGTAGCTGTTAGCAGATATGTTGGGGCCAGATCGCAGTGCTCTCTCTCAAAAATGTGATTGATTTTTTTTTTTAATCTCTTCAGGAGGTAAAAATCATAGAACTGGACATCGTCAGATTGGCCTGTGCAGCCGTCAGTGCTGGGATGGCAATTCCTGTAGGTAGTGTGTCTGTTAGTTGTCCGAGCAGCAGTGGACAGCGTAGCCTCTCCTTTTGCTAGGAAGAGCATCACCAACCTGGAATAATCCCATTAGCCCAGGTAAATAAGCACAATCTTGCAGCCTTGAATAAAACCATAGTATTTTGCCACAAGCGTTCATTGCAAAAATCCGGGTTAGTCTCAGTGCTCTCTAACTGCAGAAGGCCTCAGGCAGAGACTTTTTAGCAGAGGTTGTAACCGAAAGGCTTTGGGGTGTTCTTCATTGCATCTGTCGCCTTTGAAGAGAGCTGTAACTGCACGGCAATAAAGAGCAGCGTTGATATGGAGGGAGTTGGGTTTTAGACCTAGAGAAAGGAATGCCCTGGGAGTTGAAGGGGCTTGCTACTGCTCTGTTCATTAGCCCTGGCAGAAGAATCTCAGTGTGAGCGCATTTGCTTCAGAACAAATATGAGCTCCTGATGCATGTGTTTCTTTTTCCCTTTTTTTTTTGTTTTGTAAAGGTTATTTCTGTACCTTCCCATAAATCCCAAGCTCCTTGTAAAGCCAGTTTTATCATAATAAACTGCTGTTGACAAAAAGCGTTTTGGCTGCTCAGGCGCGCTGGGGAGGCCTGCATAACTTCCTGCATGTAGCATCTCAAAGCAGGGTCGGTTGTGGCTGTTGCACCTGGATGGCCTGGCAGCTGGCTAGGTCAGCCCCACTGCAGAGTGTTTTTGACAGGTACAAAAGCTTCTTGTTTACAAGGAAGACCTTTGATAATATCTTAACTTCAGAGCACAAGTTTCCTCAGCAGAAAAGAAGATGTTTCTGATTGTGTAACAACACCCTGTCTTCTTAAGTCCAGACTGTTAGCTGATTCTGATGGTTTTTGAATGTATGATTGTTAAATTGACTAGAGCTGACAGCTTTCTCAGGGTCTCTGGAAGCAATATTGGTACATTGATGCAATTGTGATGTTTTCTTCTGTTTCATGTCAGTGAATTTCATTACTGGCCATCTCTGGTTAAAGACCAAAGTCTGATCGGGGCTTTCATCTTGTCTTGGAAGTTCACGGATTCCACCAGAACGCTGCCCTCACAGCGGCATTTTCAAGCTGGTGTTACTGGTAGCTGTTGCATTGGTGTTGAAAGCTGGAGAAATCAGAAGTGGGCTCAGGATGTCTCACAGCTGGTTACCAACCTTGTTCCTCTAAAAATACCTTTGTGCATGGGAAATAGAGCTACAATGCCTGCAACAGATTAAGCTGTCAGGTTCTCTTGACTACTGGCCTCTTTTCTGGGGGGTGCGTTTAAAGGTCTGAATCTACCAGCTAATACGCAAAACCAGTCACGTGGGCCGCATCCAGCTGTGGCAGGTGAGCTGGATGCGGTGTTCCGACACCAGGCCTAGTTACTGAGGCATGATCTTGTTATTGGTAAGCTTTGTTGGATCTTCTGGAGAGAGGAAGATAGGTCCCAGGTGACTTGCCCCTATGTGCCTGGGAATAGCCATGCAGCAGCCTGAGCTCCACTTGGACTCACGATCCCAGAGTCTTTGTGCCCACCATGATAATGGCAGTGGGGGCCATGGGACAGCTTGGTTAGGGAACTTCTCTTTTTGTTTATAGCGTGAATGTGAACCTGCACAAGACTCAGGACTTTGATTTGATAGAGACTAAAGCTAAAGGATGTGCTTTACTTGTAGTCTGGGTGCCCAGATCTTGTTCAGCAGTACTGACCTGAAGTTCATAAGACAGCCCCATGAAGTAACAAGATGGGTCACTTGCTTCACGCCTTTTTGGCAGAGAGGGCAGATGCTGTGTCAGGAAGGCTGTTGCTGCTGACCTTTACCCACTTGGGTTCATCAGTCTTCCTACCCAAGGAAGGTGGCCTGCAGCCCCGAGACCACTGGGCAGGCCGGCTCTAGAGGGCTGCCTGTGAGCACCTCATCTTCCTTCAGGGGCTTGCTCAGCGTGTGTTTTAAGGTAGCAGGGAGTTCAGCAACCGCATGCCTGGATAAAAGAATAACTTCAAGAGGAGAACCTAACTTCTTCCGTCTTTGGTGTGAAGGCCACAGAACCATAGCACCTCCCCTACTGAAAACGTTCAAAATCTGGTGTTTTGTGTCCCACTGCATCTGAACCTTCCAAGTCTTTACCTGAAGTACCTTCCCTTAACTCCAGGGCGCAGCACTTGCACCTTTGTAGAGTAAACTGTTTCTTTGAACTGAAAATGAGCCACATCCAGCACTTGGCTGGGAGTGCTGGGCTGCCCTGCGAGCGTGCTGTGCCCCCGCTCCACAGGCAGCTGGCTGTGAGGCAGAGGAGGAAGGAAGGAAGGACACCCCGAGCAGAGGTGTGTGGTGGTGCTCCCACCCTGCCAACTCACAGCTTTACCTCAGGGATGTAGATACTCTCTCATTTTCCCAGTGAGGGGGGGGATGCTGAAGCATGAAGCCAGAAGAGTCTTGGTGGTTGGGTGCACACACTAGCTAAGGGTTGTAGGCAGGCAGCTGCGGGGGCAGCTCTCACCACCAGTTTTTAGCTCCTTTACTTTTTTTTGTTGTTAAAAATTGCGTACAGAAACATGCAGTTAGTGCATCAGTCCACAGTGAAAGAAAAGGGATTCTTCCCTTCCCCCCCCATCCCCTGTCCTAGATTAAGTTCA